GGGCTGATCCTCTGCCCAAAGTCGCCTCTGACCCCCCACCCCGACCCTGTGTCTCCCCGGCAGTCGGCCAAGCAGTTCTGCTGCAAAGTGGGCTACCCCTGCGTGGTGCGGCCCTCGTACGTCCTCAGCGGGGCCGCCATGAACGTGGCCTATTCCGACAGCGACCTGGAGCGCTTCCTGAGCAACGCCGTCGCCGTCTCCAAGGAGCAGCCGGTGGTCATCTCTAAGTTCATCCAGGAGGCCAAGGTGGGTTGGGGGGGGCAGGGGGGCAAGGACGGGTGTGGAAACTCTGCCCTGTGGCTTGTGCTGCTCTCAAGAAATCCTGGGCAGGGGGGGGGACACGCTGGGCCTGGGAGAGAAGAGACAGGGGCTCCGGCCGGACCGTCTGAGCCCCTGGAAAAGGGTTTGGTCTTGGAGCCTTTCCTTCGGCCTGCCCGGCCTGTGCAGGAGTCGACGCTTCAGAGGCTGCAGAGGAGCAAAGAGGCTTCCAGAAGGTGGGCATGAGCTGTGCCAGGAAGGTTTGCCCGAGAAGGGTAGGCCCTCAGAAGGCCGCTTCTGATGAAGCGAGTGGCAAGCTGGGTGCAACCCCTGCCCTCCCGCCTTCGCCCGCTACCCCTGGAGCCTCTTCCTTGCGTCCCGGAGAACCTGGGGCGCCAGGTCTTTGTGGGGCTTGGCAGCTGCCCGCCTCGTGAGTGGGTGCAGAAAGGCGAGTCTTCCAGAATTTGGAACTGCACACCTTCTAAAAAAAAAAATTCAGAGCACTAAATCAAGCATGGTTTGATCTAGCCTGTGTATTAGATTTACGTTGGCTGAATACTTTATTAGGAAAAGAGGTAATGTGTAAGCACAGTATCTACATTTGGAGAAGTGCTTTAGTTAGTATCGTGGTCTTTAGCTCTGCATCCCAAGGTCTATATAATGGTTTGTTTGCTTAAAAGGGGATAGGCGCATTTTAGGCCCCACCGAGGGGGGGGGAAGGGGAGTGTGCTGGCCATGCGCCCCCCCCCAGCAAAGTTTAACAAGTCCTCTACAAGGGGACCATTAGCTCCTAAATGTTGCTGTGGTCCCTGCCACCTCTTTCGCCCCTTAGGTTCAGAGGGAAGTAAATTCCATCCATCCATCGTTCGTAATGAATTCTGTGAAACAGCCTGGCTTGTGTTTTTTTTTTTTTTTTTTTGAAAGGAATGAAATTTTCTGTTTAAAAAATCTGAGCTTTCTAGGAAACTTTCAAGAAAACGTTCTGCTCTTGGGTGCCCTGCTTCCCAGAGAGGCCTCGGAGCTCCCCGTCCCTCTACACGCGCAAGGAAGACGGGGCGGGAGGGGAGGGGAGGGCTTCCCGTCTGAGGCTTTGGGGAGCGTCTTCCGGTCTTTCCTCCTGCTGAGGAGGCCCCCACAGGCATCCCGGGCTGGTTTTTGACCCAAGGTGGGAAGAGGCGGAGGGGGCGGTGGCCCTTGAGCAGAACCTGTTCTCTGGCCCCGCCTTGGGGGAGGGGGGGCGCGTGCAGAGGGTTATGGCTAGTGTGCAGAGGCAAATTAGGTTGGAGGGAGGGAGCTGGACCCACAGATGTGGAAGGAACGCCATAGGCCTCGCCTGCCAGGGCAAAAGCTGGTCGGGTGGGGGTTGTATTTGTGGGCCGGCGGGGGCCGTGCCCAGAAGGGGACGCAACGGGCACAGGTGGGGCGAGAGGCTGAGGGGCTTGGCCGTGGCTTGCTGCAGGAGATCGACGTGGATGCCGTGGCCTGTGACGGGCAGGTGGTGGCCATTGCCATCTCTGAGCACGTGGAGAACGCTGGCGTGCACTCGGGAGATGCCACGCTGGTGACGCCGCCCCAGGACATCACGCCCAAGACCCTGGAGCGGATCAAGGCCATTGTCCACGCCATCGGGCAGGAGCTGCAGGTCACGGGGCCCTTCAACCTGCAGCTGATCGCCAAGGTATTGGGG